CTTCTTCTTCTTCTTCTTCTTCTTCTTCTTCTTCTTCTTCTTCTTCTAGTAATTTTTTCTGGGGTGTTGGCTGCTGAGTTCCCCTTCCATTCCCTCATCTAAGTCATTTATTCCAGATCTATTCTGATTGACTGATTAACTTAGGAATCCTCCTCCTCTTCCTCCTCGTCCTCTTTCCTTCCTTTTTTCTTTCCTTTTCTTCCTCCTCCTCCTCCTCCTCCTCCTCCTCCTCCTCCTCCTCCTCCCTTCTTCCTTCCTCTCTAGGAAGCTAACACATATTTTCTTTCCACTGGCATTGGATGAGAGTAATAGTGCCTTTTGATTTAAGACTGGAGAACATGAAGCTTGCATCAGTTTTGCAAAAGCTCACTAAAGAGGACACAATATTTCAATGTTATACTGTGGTTGCAAATGCTTGTGCTTTGTGTGAAATTCAGAAGTCAGTTTTCAGACTTCTATCATTCTTGTGGGTGAAAATAGCTGCAACTGAAAGCTGAAAGATACCCTAGAAGCTAGGGCCTGGGGAAATCTGTTTCTATATTTCATAGAAAAAGATAACAAAATATTTGATTGCACATAGCAGAACAGACGATAAACACTCTTTTGATGCAGTGTTATGGGCTTTTCTGATATCAGTGGTTTTTACTTGATGAAAAGGACTTAAGCAAGAGCCAAGGGTCATGTACTCCAAGTCCAACAAGGGAGAAAAGATAGACAAGGAGATGTTGCTCCCGAAACTACAAGACTGGAACTGATAGTGTTTAAACCTGATAGTTGTAAGCTTGTTAGAAGCCTTGGAACTAATACCCTTAAAACTCCTGGCTTTACACTCATGAGGGGTTAGGCTTCCTAGAAAGTTGTCTCTTTGCTTGTCTTAGAACTCAGCACTGCAAATTGCCAGATCTGGGATGCAAAAATCAGGCAACCACAACTGAGCAGTGAAGAGATAATTACTTAAAAAATAAATAAAGCCATAAACTGTAGGAGTGTTTATGGGTTTTGATATAAAATAATACTAATACTAAATACTAAACATCTAAATAATTTATTCTACTGTACAGGCTTCTCTCTCTCTCTCTCTCTCTCTCTCTCTCTCTCTCTCTCTCTCTCTCTCACACACACACACACACACACACACAATACTGTACATACATACATACATACATACATACATACATATCATTTCCTCCTGGGAAAACATGTACAAAATATAATTGATGGTAAAATATATTTGGTAAATAAAGCTTCACAGCTATAACTTTTAATACATGACTAATATTATGCAATCAGCTGTAAAAATATTGGGGCAATCGGGGGAGAACTAGTTTAGTTTCTAGGCACCACTATATTGATTTTCAAAGGTGGAGATATCGCCACCTTTGTATGGCTGTAGTATTATCATTATCCTTCTCATCTTCTCAACTACCCCCTTATTATATTTTATATATATCATATATATAAATAATAATAAATAATATAATACTGGTATGTAAATATAAGCAATATAAATAAATAATAACAAATTATACATACATAAGATATATCTTATTATGATTATTATTCTGTTGCTTTGCATGTACATTGAAAGCTTCTGCACCGAAGCAAATTCCGTATGTGTCTAATCACACTTGACCAATCAAGAATTCTGTTCTGTTCTACTCTACTCTGTAATATGGACAGTAATGCAGTTTTACTTCCAGTCTGGCTTAACATGGTTACCTTCATATGGTTTTGATGAAAGGACCACAGGAAACACATTGCAAGGGCTTATTTTAAGAATTATGAAAACCTGGGAGAGGGTGGAAATTGTTTGCTGAAGTTGGGTGAGAAGGTTCGAAAACCACTGAAATAACATAAATCCTTTCTGAATCTCAGATCTCTTCCATGTGATGGACGGAGAAAAGGGGGGTGAGGTGGGGAATCAAACATACCCTCCTGTTTGAAGGCCTCTGAGAATGGCTCGGGGTTTGTTGGTGGGTAATGGGGCTGCAATGATCCATGCCAATCTGGAGAGGAGATGCTTCCCATGGCAGGATAACTTGGTCGTTGCCTGTTCTTTGTGTTAATGGCAGAGGAGGAGTAAGATGAACTGGCAGATCTGAGTCTTAAAAGAGCAGCATATGTGGCATGGATTCCTGGAATAGCTGCAGAACATTCTGGTAGGTTGGAAACAAAAACAAAAAAAAGAAACAAAAATATAGTTCGAATTGGACATAAGAACACTAAACCTTTAATGGATCCAGCTTCTTAGGCAGTACAAATGGGTCTTTCCCATCAGAATATGCATACCTTTCATAACGAGAACTTCTAGGAAGGTTCTTGGGTAGAAATGGGATTCTGATATTTGCTGGAAAGAGGGACCCAGGTAAACATTTCAGTGTGTATCCTCCATCTGCTCTGGGGAGGACAGAGGAAGAAACTGGGGTCTTATGTGAGATAGCAACCTTCCCTTGTGTCAGTACTGATCTGAAATGTATACAGGTAGTCCTCAACTTACGATTGTAGTAGAGCTCACCCATCATGGTTATAAAGTCATGATGGTAAGTTTTGACAGATCAGTTAAAACTACTAGACCTGTCAAAACTACTAGATCCAGGGGTGGGATGCAAATATTTTTACTACTGGTTCTGAAGGTGTGGCTAGGTGGGCGTGGCTAGGTGCACCATGTGTGGCCCCCCTGTGTCCCGTCTTGGCTGCTAGAGGCACCACGGGCTGGTCCTTTGCTATTTCCACAGGCCAGATTTAAGCACTCCACAGGCCGAATCCAGCCTGCAGGCCTTGAGTTTGATACCCCTGTACTACATACAAAGATAATTTTTCCCTCGTGCCAAACACAGTCTCATTTCTCATCTTTTCTCATCCTCTCAACTTTCCTACTATCTTCTCCTATTGGTTTCTTATGATTTATCAATTGTTGTTTACAATGATCTGTGACTTATTACTTGCTGTTTCTATATACACTTTGAGTTTATGCACCCAAGACAAATTTCTTGTGTGTCCAATCACACTTGGCCAATAAAGAATTCTATGATTCTATATTTACAAAAGAGATGCAAAATGTTTTGCCCTCAGATTGTCACATCTTCAAATCATTGTTTGGACAGCCTGTTCATAAAGGTAGTGTTTAGAAATTCTTGTTCCATGGATGGAACAAAACACAACTTGATTATTTTTGAGTTGTGTTTTCAGATAATTTAGTTGTTTCTACTCTCTGACTGGGCTGTTTTATGCCAAGCTCTCTCTAACCAAACCAGTTCAGATTGGATAAAGTTATACAAAATGAAATTTTAAGAAACATTTGAGAAATATTTAAGCAGATGGCTTAAAATATACATAAGATGAGTACAGACTGCTGTGTCTGCTACGCTGATTAGTAAGTCACTGCCTTAAAAAAAAAAAGATGGGGAACTTACATATGAAAGGATGGTTGAGTTACACCTACAGCAGGGCTCCCAAACTTGTGGTTCCCCAGGCTGGATGCATCACACTCTGGCCATGCCCAGTTTGGCAAAGGGGAAAAAAGTCACAATACATCACATGACAACACTGTGAAAACACAAGTTTGATACTCAAGTTGGACCTACAGTAACCTAATCAAGCCATACTTGATTATGCAACTGTATAATACAAAAGTGTATGTGTTGGATGCATGGAACTATTTTGTAGTTGTAGCTAACGTGGCTCAGGTTGTCTAAAATCAAACACTGTGGCAAATATCTGTAGCTTGAGTCTTGGATGAGGGTGAAGATTCACTCACTGAGCTTGTGGGTTGGTTTCCAAACGTTTGATTACCAGGCTAGGTAACATCTTCAGCAGAGTTTAGGGAATGTCCATGTTCTTCTGTTTATAAGGGCTTCAGGTGTAGGTGTGTCAAGTGAGCGTCTTGTGATAGGTCAACTGTGAGTCATCAGCAATTCTAGGGATGGGTCTTGTGATAAAGAGGTCAGTGGTGGGATTAATTTTTTTTTACTACCGGTTCTGTGGGTGTGGCTTGGTGGGTGTGGCAGGGGAAGGATACTGTAAAATCTCTAGTCAGAGGTGGTATTTGCTGGTACTCCGAACTACTCAAAATTTCTGCTATCGGTTATCTAGAACTGGTCAGAACCTGCTGAATACCACCTCTGCATCAGGTCAGAGACATTGGGAGGTGAACTGTTTTTGTTAAGCTTTAGAGTGCTTGGTTTGTGTTGAGCTTCAGATGCCTTTAAAACCGCAAAGATGCTTCCTTCGTTTGAGTTGATTTATTGAGCATTTTGTGTGCACTATGGGAATGTTCTTGTTTAGTGTTAACATTATGAATACAGTCAAGAAGCATCAGTCATTCTTGTTTGCTTGTTAATTTGATTTTGCAGCTGGCAGCTACTTCTATGTGGAAGTAACAAAGGAAGGCTAGAATGATTAGTTGCTACCTTTGTCCTGTATTTTCTTGGCTGAACCACAGATAGTTTATTTATCAAAATTATAAAGAGTTCTATTGATTCTTTCAACTGGGAAATGGGAAGGCTTTTTGATAAAAGATTTTGATTTAAAAGATTTTGTAGTGGATAACTGCAGGATTGGGGTCCCAATGTTTTATGCAGGCATTTATTTTAATGTTTTAAAATTATTTTACAAGCCATCCACTAAACTGAACCATCTACTTTTTGCTTTAAAATAACTCAATATTTTTATTTTTGTGTTATCACCATCATCTAAGCAATCCTCTTAACTGCCAATTTCTTGACTCTTATCCTTTTCTCACATCTTTGAAAACCAGTTTTGTTGGATAAACAGGAGACAAAAAAACAGCAGAGGAGGCTGCTTAAAGCCAAAAAAATTTCTTAGGAATGAGCATTCCCAGAACTTCCATCACAAATAAAACTTTTCACTTATTAACTAGGAAAAAAAGTGACAGTTGCTGCTACTAGAGTTCATCTTAAGTTTTAAGGTACGCTAAAAATTTCAAAAATATATCATCAACAACAAAATTATTTTCATTATGATTAAGTACAGACCAAAATTTAGCAATTAAAGAGAAATATAGTCATGTATAAAACTTACAACGTATAAGGAAAAATTACATGTATGAAAAACTGCACTGAAGAGAGAAAACTTGATGACTTGTTCTAAAAGCAGAACAAATGATGATCAACTGTTCCTCCCTACCTTCGTTTCCATACATTAGAGACTTGACAAAAGAGCTAGTTGGGCTGCATTTAAAACCTTTCTGAAGTTTATAGCACCAAGCATCAATTGACTCTCAAATAAGCATTTTACAAATTCCAAATTTAAAACCTAGACTGCATCCACTATTAAAAAGGATGTTGAGACTCTAGAAAAAGTGCAGGGAAAAGCAACCAGGATGATTAGGGGACTGGAGACTAAAACATACAATGGATGTTTGCTGGAACTGGGCACGGCTAGACAAGTGAAGAGAAGGACTGGGGAGACATGATAGCAGTGTTCTAATATTCTAATATTTGAGGTTCTGTCACAGAGAGGAAGTGGTCAAGCTATTTTCCAAGGCATCTGAAGGCCACATAAGGGATGGATGGAAACTGACCAAGGAGAGATTCAACCTAGAAATAAGGAGAAATTTTCTGATAATGAGAACAATCAACCAATGGAACTTGCCTTCAGAAGTTGTGGGAGCTTCATAACTGGAGGCTTTCAAAAAGAGATTGGACTGCCATTTATCAGAAATGGTGTAGGGTCTCCTGCTTGGGCAGGGGGTTGGACTAGATGACCTACAAGATCCGTTCCAATTCTGTTAATCTGTTAAACTAACACCTTAAATTGACCAATGTAATTGGTCAACAAGGGCAAATATTTAGCATACATATATGTTATCATATAGCAACCCTATTACTGTGTATCCATCATCTGAAGTTGCTGAATCCTCTTCAGAGGTAGTTTCCATATATACAGCACTGCAAAACTCTCACTCATGTTGCTACTAATGTATTTGAAGTATATATCTGTACAATTGTCATATTGGTAAACTGCATATTCCTGACAAACTAGTCTGTTGTTGCCTTTGATCAGTTCAAGAATTGTCCAAGAACATTAATCATACTTAATTAAACTTGCTCCTTGCTAATTCAACCATCATTTTTATTTTGCTTGTTCTTCTACCAAAAACATATTTTCTGGCTGGAAAGAGGCAAAGCATAACAGAATCCTACACAGGGATTGTATGTCCCATTGAGTTAACTACTTTCTTAGATGCAAAAAATCAGAGGAAGAATGTTCCAATTTCTCAAGGCTGACCAATTATTCTACAGTGTTTCCTACCAGCTTCCACTGAACTTGATGAAAGACAAATTGCTTTAGGATTGTCTCAAAAGAAAAAGAAATCCACATTGGTGAAGTGTGGTTGTCTTGCACTTGTTTATCTACAAAGTGATATAGTCTTGCAGTTGTTTATTTACAAAGTGATATAGTGAGAATTACCGTCATGCACTATCATCCATTATACAAACATTTTCTAGATGTTCCATGGCTTCCCAAGGGCCAATAATAGTTAAAGAGAAGCCATTTGCACAGAGTTCTTCTTGGAAAGGAATAATCCAAATTAAAGGATAGACAAGCTTTGGTGTCTAAACAGACAGCCTGTGCTGCTTTGAATCATTGTTTCAATGGTGTTTCCTTACCTAAACAGATAAGTGGAGGGGGGGAAGCAGTGGGAACAGGAACAATTTTCAACTTCCTGTTGGCTTCCCTATTGAGTTTCCTTGTGGGAAGCAGGCAAGGAAGCATTAAAAACCAACCTTCCTTTCTTCCTTCCTTCCTTTTTTCCTTCCTTCCTCCCTCCCTTCCTCTGAAGCAGCTACATTTTCCCCAAATTTCATTCACTTGAGAGTTTTTGAGTCCCAAATTCTTTAACTTAGTCCATTTGAGGTACCCCATTTTTGGTTCCAAAAATGTTGCCTTTTGTTGTACCGTTTCATTCAGTTAAAGGTCAAGACAAAGAGAGTTTTAGTAGTATATATAGAGATGACCATATTTTATATTCTGAAGGAGCAAAAATTATATTTGATTTTTTTGCTGGGAGGAAGAATTTAGGAACCTCAGGTTTTGTGTCCCCCCACTTTTCAATATCATGAGTTGTGAGGGGTGGTGGTGGACACACAATCCAGAGACTTCTTGAGGCCCACACATGCATTAGAACTGGTTCTGCAATATTGGGACAAACAAAGACTCCTTCCCTCTCCCCATCAAGATGATATAAAAGGAGCTTTGATCTGCTATCTTTGTGAGTTTACCATTAAAAATAGAAATGCAGTCTCTTCTGCAGATCAAAAATAGCTTCTCCCTTAGCATTGGACTGATATGGGAATATCAAAGTGAATCAAGAGTAACTACTTTTTCAAAAAACCAAATTTGGAATCTTATCCTTTTACGAGCTCCTGTGTGATGACCACTCAGCCTTGAAATTACATCCTATTTTTCTATATAGCTTTTATTTTCAGCTTTGTTTGCTTCCCAGCAAAATGAATTATTTAGTTTTGTAATGTAATAGTGTTGGACCAAGAAAAAG